TAATTGTATTTTATATAGCTGAAAACCATCTACTTCCTCTCTGCTGAAGTTAATATATAAATTTCCCTTTCACTTAAAGGAAGTGGAAAGAGGGTGGGAGTAGCTCTGGTATTACCATAATGACTTTATGTTCCTAAGTTATTCATGTTAATAATGTATTACCGCTTATGAGCTTATCTGACACACCGGGCCATGAACCACCCTTTCATTCAAGACGCATAGAAAGGAGAGCACAACAATCCACAGACCCAGAGAGACTAGGTAACGAGGGTCCAAGGGAGGAGGACACCCAGATCTCCCTGGGAAGGGGGAATATAAGCGGTTTTGACTGAAGGCGGGTGGGAACGGGAACATGATCGATCAGGTTGGGGGTACAGAGCAGGAGAGTGCTGAGGAGCACTGCTGGGGGCGCATTTTGGGGTGGGGTGGACGCCTGGCCCTGGGGAATCTCCCAGAGTCTATGGGGAGGACCCCAGCTCAGACTCCTATAGCAGAGAGGCAGCCTGAACTGGCTGTCTCTAGTGACCAGATTGGTGCCTGGCCCAGTTGTCATCAGAGAAGTGTTATACAGCAAGGGATGGAGGCAGATGAGAGACCCACAGTCAAACGTCAGGCTGAGTTTGGGAATCCTGTGAAGGAGGAGAATGGAGTGTAGGAGCCAGAGGGACAGCACAGGAAGGCTCACATAATCAACTAACCTGGGCTCTCAGGGGCTGAACTAGGGAACCTGCATGGGACTGACCTGGGCACTCTACATATATGCTACAGTTGTGTAGCTTGGTCCTCTTATAGGACTCCTAACAATGGGAACAGGGGCTGTCTGTCTCTTTTACTGGTTTTTGGCATCATACTCTTCATTCTGGGTCTCCTTACACAGCCTTAATAAATGGAGAGGTGCTTAGTCTTACTGCAACTTAATATGCCATATTTTATTGATACTCATGGGAGACCTGCTGTTTCCTGGACTGAGATGGAAGAGGAAGGGACTGGGGTGGGAGAACAGGGGAAGGTGGAGGGAGGGACTGAAAGGGGAGGCTGGAGGAAGAGTCTGCAGCCGGGTGTAAAATAAATAAATGAATGAAAAAAAAGGAGGAAGAAGGAGAGCAGAGCAAACCAGGCCATCACTTTTACACAAGCCCCTCCACCCTGGTACACTAGTCCCAGCTCTCCAACTGTTCTGCTGGAGATTCAGTTTACTAGAACCACTCCACTAGGATGCCTCTGGCACACACATAAGCCATCTACCCGATGGGGCCAACATCCTGGCACTGCAGCACAATGCTGATGTTGTCATCTAGGGTTCACCCAAGAACCATCCGATCAATTACAGGGGTGAGCAGCACAGACTCTCCTGTTTGAAGTGAGTTTCTCATTCCGTGTGAGGCCCATAGCTGCCCAAAGCTGGGCAGGTAAGACACACACACACCTCTAGCCAGCTCCTCTCAGCAGCTCCAGAAGCTAATGGTTTGCTAGCTCAGTGCTACATCACTCGGCCATTCTACTTCTATTGACTTTCTCTTTAGGCTCTTTGCAGATTCTCTACAATACCTTTAAAAATCTTAGCTGA